GCTGGGGCTACCCATGTGCCCTTCAACAGCTCACCAAAACTCATTAAGCAGCCCTCCAGCTGAAATAATTGCCTGCCCTTGTCCTTGGGCTTTATTCTTCTCTCACAGTAGAGGCTTTTGAATCATGTAAGTGTTGCAGGTATCCAAGAAGTGAACAGACTGGTTTTCCTATTTTGTTTTGGAAGCAAAAATAAATAAAATAAGTGGGTCTTGGAATTAAATAAATAGCCTGGGGGAAGCTGGGAATGGTTTGCTACTGAGTAGTTCATTTTTAGTTCAGCAAGGTGCATAGCAGGACCTTGAAAAAAAACATACCCCAGCTCATCAGTCTGCTACTTAGGACAAAATTTTGACCCTGTTGGAAGGTGGAATTTTCACTTTGCTTCATTGAGGCCTGGCTATAAACCTTGCTGGGGGTAGACAGGTCAAGTTGGTACTTTAGCACTTGCTCATGGACTGTGAAGGTGAATTGCCCTTAGTCTATGCAGTTGCTCTCATTCCTTTAATTGTATTACAGGTGAGGTGGACAGTGGTGTCACCAGTGCCTGCCCTTTTGTCTCCTCTGCAAACAGGTGACTCCCGAGTATCAGGATGAGCTGATGTCTCTGCTGAGAAACCAACAGAGAGAGCTCACCGAGTTACGACAGAACCAGATGGAGCTGATGCGGAGACTCACTGATCACCTGGACGCTGTGCAGAGCTCCCTCATGGGCCATGTGGAGAGAGTAATTGGCTCTCAGCAAGAGCAAGAGCGTATCCTTCCATGGAAACCCCTCTGGAAGTAGACATGGCATAGGGCTAGGTCTGGGTGAGCATCTTTTCATTAGAAGGAAATCTGGCTAAGTCCTCAAGAGCCTTATGCCTGCTGCAGACACCCCATGCTGATGGGCTTGCAAGCCATGTAAGCAGTTGCTCTTAACCAAAGAGCCACAACATACCCCTTGTTGGCAGTGGTGGCAAACATGCTCCAGTTCAGAAAGAAAAACTGCATTGTGTAGTTGGTTTACTCACAATTTCAGGCAAGACACCAGCAAAGGATGGAATAAAAGAAAAGCCTTGGTTTACCTTTCCTGTGAAGAACTGCAGGTGATGTTGAAGAAACACATGAGGCTTTGGAACAGTGGTCTGAGTGTGTCTGGTCTGTGCCATAAAACCATGCTTCAGTTTTTGCTTGAGATATGGTCAGGGTTTGGAGAAGCACAGGGCTTCAGGGCAAAATGGGGTGATATCAGAAAAGCTGGGTGCTAGAACATGAAGGTGACAAGGTGCAGCAAGGCCAGAATCAACAAGGGCCAGCTTGCCTCTGCACCCGATTCAAGCTACTGTTTCTCAATGCCTTGTCAAGATGGGAAGTTCACAGAACATAAATGGAGGAAAACACTGCTACTTTCTTTGTGTCACTGAACCATCCAGTGGCCTGTTGGGTGGCAGGTGTTCATCAAGTACAGATTTACCAGCTGAAGCAAGATGTGTCCTAGAATGCTGATACCAGAGAAGCAAATTAGGCTTTATGAAGTCCACAGAAGTGCTGGAGATGTCTATTTAGGTGAGTGTTGGGAGAAGAGGAGAAATCTCCTGGTGCTTGTGTTCCTTAATGTATGATCAGAGAGGAGGCTAGACCGAGCTCTGACAGAATGGCACCAGCGGAACGAGCAGTTACAGGAGCACCTGTCCCAGCAGCTCTCTCAGTCCATGTCCACCGCTGTCTGTAATCGCCTGGAGAGGACCATTCGTGAAGAGATGAAGAAGACAGTGCCCCAATGTAAGTTGTGGGAAACTCTCTGTAGGGAACACAGACTGGTATTTACATGCTGTGTGCAGCCCTTCTCTGTGAGCAGTTAATGAGTGTGAACTTTCCTGAGGTTCAGCCAGTGCAGAATGGGTTGTAGACTTCATTGAGGTACATCTGGAAAGTATCCTGGCCATACCATTCCTGAGTGCCTTGGCATCCCACTGGCCTTTTGTTTCCTAGGGAAAGGGGAATGCTTTTCTGGCTCTTAGGCTACATCTGCATCACTTTCTCCTTCATGTTGTACTCAGGTATTTCCAAAAGCATGGACCCTGTCACTGGACAGCTGAGTAACACCATTGCAACCAAACTCACAGCTGTTGAAGGCACATTGAAGGAGAATGTCACTAAGCTGGTGAAATCAAAGGTAAGGACCAGAATGCAGCCATCTCCAGGCTGTCCAGCATTGACCTTCCAGAGTAATGATCCATTACTGATTGACTGGCAGCATCCTCACTCTTCAGAGGCTGAAAATGGTTTAGTTGCTAGTGTAGAGAGAGCCATTTTCTGGTACCACAGGAAATCTGGGTAGACACCTGCTCCCTCTCTATTCCACCTTCTGTCTTTTGTTGCACCTCCTATATTAGTGAAGAACAAGAGCTCCTTTTATGCAAACACCCTTTCAGAGGGACTTTTTGACAGACATTTTCTTCCAGTATGGGTATACATATTTAAATGTACAAGACAGTTGTCATTCTGTTTGGGGCACCATGCTTTAAAAGCATGGACAGGTTAGATCCCAGTGGAGAGCACTGAAAATTAGTAGAAGTTTTTAAGAAACATAACTTAGGAGGAAAGATGGGAAAACCCAGGATTTAGTTTAGAGAAGAGAAAAATGAGGGGGGATTTAACAAGTCTCCAAACACCTGCAAAGTGATTATAAAGAGTATGATGACAGACTAGTCTTTGTAGCCATAGGGGACAGGACAAAGAGTAACTCTCTTAAATTGTAACAAGGGGAATTTTAAGTTGTATTTTACAAAGTACTTTAAAACTAGGGGAGTGATTTAAGCATTGCAACAGATTCTACAAAATCTCTAGTTTTTAGAGTGTCAGTTAAATGAGCGGTTGTCTGGAATGGTTTGTACAGGGATGATTCTGCCTTGAGATTTCTCAAGGCAACTTTCTGAGGTCTCTTCCAGCCCTATTTTTCTATTATTCTGTTCTGAAAGTTCACTTAGTCTCCCTATGCTAAGTTTCAGGCCAGGTATAGACATGGTCAGAGTCTGGCACTGCACATGAGGAGGATCTAGGTAACATCTTACTTGTTGGCATACTGGGAAGTTAAACCCTAGACTTTAGTTCACCAGAGGGTACAAAGGAATGGAAGAAGCTCTCTGGACTGTCCCAGGATCTGCACCTCCTTAGCAAACCCAGCACAAAGCAGTCTGCTTCTCCCTCGGCTTGCTCCAAAGCCAACTTTTTTGCAAGCTCCCCAAGCAGCACCCTAGCTGTTGCATGGTCAGTGGGTAGCGAGCCAGCCTGCTGTCTGTTCCTGAGGGAATGCTCTTTCGCAGTATTTAGCAGGGTCACAAAATGTTGAGCTGGTATTCTTGCAACACACACTTGCAGAAAAAGGCATGATTTGAAGCTTTAGCAATATCTCTTCTTGGGCTTTCCCCTCCTATTGCTCAGCCTTTTCCCTTCTGGTCTTTACTGGCCTGAACAGGCAGGTGATTATAGCTTTAAAGCTGTGGGGGGTCTCACTGTCCTATGTGTAGTGTATGCGTATATGCATGTGGAGTACATATTTTTCCAAAGATGGTTTAAATTCATTTTTCCAAGTTTACCTTCACTTCCTATCTGCTTTTTTAATCCAGGTCCTTTTCATATAATCCCTTTCTCCTCACTGTTTTCAGCCTCTTCCACTGAGTCTCTACAAATGTAATTAATGTTAATAGTGTACAGGGAAGTAGCCTGGTCCCCTTCCCATTGGATTCAGCATAGTGCCATTTCCTTTCGATCCCCTGAGCTCCTGCAGAGCTGTGGCTAATGATTGCTCAGTTCTTTTTTCATAGGTTCTAAGGAAAATAGAGCTGGAAAGGGACCTCATGGGGTCATCTAATCCAGCCCCATGCTCAAGGCAGGATCATCCGAGACATCACTGTTAAGCTTTGGTCCAGCTATAAGTGGTCTTCTTGGTGCTTGGAACCATGTTGTTGCTCTATAGTTGTATATGAATCAGACTTATAAAAATGGTTATGGAAATGTATAGACTCATCTCAGCTAAGTGTCTATCTAACCTGTTGTTGAAACCTTCCAAAGATAGAGATTCCACAATTTTCCTAGGTAATCTATTCCAATGCTTGACCATCCTTGTAGTCGGGAAGTTCCTCCTAACCTTCAACCTAAATTTCCCCTGCTGCAGCTTGAGGTCATTGCTCCTAGTCATATCCTCTGCAGCCACAGAGAGAAGCCCATCTCTACCCTCTCTGTAATTGTCCTTCAGGTATTTGAAGACTTTTATCAAATCCCCCCATTCAGCCTTCTTTTCTCCAGACTAAATAACCCTAGTTCTTTCAGCCTTTCCTCATGACCGAGACGATTCACATTGAGTGGATTCTGAAGGGTATTTCAGATTTGTTTTCCTTATTGCTTGTGCTCTCACTGTCCTCCAGATGCATTATGAATTTCCTTTCTTTGGCTTTTCTTCTTTTGCTGTGAATATATTTTTTGTGGAATTGCAGCTTCCAGATCACTGTGCCTTCTGCACTCATTTTCTGCACAGCACTTCCTCTTCCCTCCTTTTTATTTCTTGTACTCGGCTCTTCTCCGTTGTTTATAGTCTGGAGATGCCTTAATTACCTCTTCAGGATCAAATGGCTTAAGGGGTGAGGAGTCTAGTTTTGGCATCTGTTTTTTTTTGCATTTGAATTTAAACACTGGGAAATCTTTGTTTTCTAGGATGTACTAATTGGGGTTCCCTCAGCCACCAAAGTGTAGTGTTAACTGCACTTCAACTGGAAAAGGGTGTTAACTGTTTGGGAGAGAAATACTTCTGGTTGGTGCTGGGCAGTCCTTGTCTGTGCTGTTTTTGGGTTGCAGGGCAGGTAAAATGCCTCCCCCCATCTTGTCTTAGATAGTAGAAAAATGCTAAACTCTGGGGCCTTTTGCATGTGTTTTCAAGAACCTTACAGATACCATTGTGAGGGCAGCTGCGGATGCCCTGCAGGGACCCATCCAGTCAGCCTACAGAGAGGCGTTCCAGAGCATCGTGCTGCCTGCATTTGAGAAGAGCTGCCAGTCCATGTTCCAGCAGATCAATGACACGTTCAAGCAGGGCACACAGGAATGTGAGTCATTTCTTAACCTTCCCTCCCTAGCCTGGCTGTCTGTCATTGTTAACAACAAACCCACAGTCCCAGTACAGAGCACCACAATGGCAGCCATCTGCAAGGGAGGGGAGGGTTAATTCTCATTTCTCACTTTGGTCATGCAAAGCAGTTTGTATGACCAAATTCAGGCTGCTGCAAGAGCTGAGGTGAGTCTGTGGTGCTCCTGGCTCCCAGTCTGACCTATAGGCATGGCTCTAGTTCCTCAGCTGTAGTCTCCCAGTTGATAACAGCCTTGCTGTATCATCACACTTCCCTAGTGTGGCAGTAGGACTGTCACTGTCCTAAAGCATCATATATTTGCCCTGATATAGGCAGGGGACAGAAGGCAAACTTCTCTCTCCTGTCCCATACTGGCTGGGAGGCACAGCACTTGGAGGGAGCTCCTTTCACTTCTGCATCCCTCTGGTGAGCTAAAGCCTGGGGTTTAATTCCTGGATATGCTAACAAGCAAGATGTTACCCAGTCCTTGCTCATGTGCAGTGCTGGACTCTGCCTGTGTCTGCACCAGCCATTATTACAGCACCTCCCTATTTCTGTCTTATGGGGCAATGTGTAAAGGAACTGGTGCCCACGTTCACCTTGTTCTACCCAGGTTGGTGGTGCCCTCTTCCTTCCTTTTACGAGGTCTTCAGTGTTGATCACCCTATACACAGCCTGCTTCCTCCTTGCCTCCTTGCTTTTTCAGATGTATTTGCTCCTGGCCCCATTGCCAATGAAATACTGTAGCTCACACTAGTGTACCACAAAGACGTGTGCTTCCCTTGCCCTGTGTTTTTAGGCCCAGCTGAGCAGCCCATGCAAAGACTTGTTGCTACAGAACATTTTGGATTGGCTGCTCAGTCACTGTTACCTATACCCCTGATGGGGGCCTGGGGAAGTGCACGGAGGTGTTCACAGTTTGGTCCGCTGTGTGGCCCAAAGGCTGGGCTTTGGGACACCCCTATAACCCCTACTAGAACATGCCATGTGGTTAGGCAGCAGAGCTGCCAACATCTCAGCTTCCCCAAGAGCACCTAGCTAGCACGTGTCCCCAAGCACCTATCTGTCTTATGGTTGCAGATATCCAACAGCTGGAGACCCACATGAAGAACAAAAAGGTGCGAGAACAGGAGGCACGGGACCCCCTGCTGAGCCAGCTCCGACAGCTGATCACCACCTTCCAGAGCACCACAGAGCAGCTGGCTTCCACCATCACGGCCAGTGTCCATGCTGAAGTGCAGCATCAGCTGCATATCATCGTGGGCAAGTAAGCTGGCATCTGGGTGTAATGTTGGGCACCTGCTAAAATTGGCATCACTGAGGAATGCAGGTGCTGGTGGGGCCAGGCAAGGTGTGCAACAGAGGCCTTTGTTAGCTCTCCTGTAAAAACAGGCCTACCCCAGGGGGTAGCTCTTGGACCTTTCATTTGCAGTATGCAGAACCAGTCAACAAGAGTTTCATGCAGGCATGTGTAGCTGCACATGGAGGACTGCATATCAGCATAACTTGCAGCTGAGCCTTCATTCAAACTGGAGTCTTGGGCCCTAGAGTGTAAGCTCTGTGTACTCTGTGAAGCAAGGCTCAACCAGGCTTATGTCTTCGGACACACCCTGAGAAGGGTTTGGATTTTTAGGTCTGCAGCAGCTCATGCCTTGAATCCCAGCTACAGAATGCAGCTGCACATGTTACAGACATGCCTGAGCTGCTGGCAAACGGACTGAATCCAGTGTCTTACTGTCTGTAGCACAGTGTGGCCCCTTGTGTTTCCAGGCAATAAGAGTATATATAGATTTGCATCTACAGGGGACCATGGCCGTTTCAACAAAGAGGCCAACCGTGGAATGCAAATGCAGCTCCCCTCTCATCTTCCAGGTAGCACCTGGGGATGAGAGCTGACATTTGTGGAAAGTTGCTGCTGGGGGATTAGCAGAGATCCCTGCAGCTTTGCACTGGCAGCAGAGACTCTAGAGACTTAACATAGCTGAGAGCTATGAGGAAGAACAGGTTCCTGGAAAGGTTGCCCATCCTATTCCCCCCTCCTCCCCCCCGGAATCTGAGTCACTTTAGCATGTGCACTGGAGCAAGTATTTTAAGGGTACACGCCATGAGGGCTCTACAGAGTCCCAGGGGGCTGTGTGCACCCTTCACTGGTAGTCCTTGTTTGTACTTGGGCCTCCAAGCAGTTTGTATGAGCCCTCTGGTGCTTGTGCTGAAGTACAAAGCATCCCTCTTAAGATCTGAATCACAGGTTTGTCAGGTGTAAGCATAAGCAGTGAAATCTCTAATGCTGTTCTCAGGGCTCGCTCTTTTTCTAGCATGCAGGAGTCCATTCTGACCCAGGTGCAGCGGGTCATCAAGGGGGAGGTGAGCCTGGCCATGAAGGAGCAGCAAGCAGCTGTCACCTCAAGCATCATGCAGGCAATGCGCTCAGCAGCAGGCACACCCATCCCCTCCGCTCACCTGGACTTCCAGTCTCAGCAGGCTCACATCCTGCAGCTGCTGCAACAGGGCCACCTCAACCAAGCTTTTCAGCAGGTACATGGGCTGCCTTATGGGGCTGATCCTTCTGAAGGAGCCAAGGGATCCCCTCTTATTCTGCCTGAGGGATGAAATGGGGGAAGACTCCCTTCTCCTCCCTCCCCCTTCCTCTGCCACTTGTCAGAGTCATTCCAAAGTGAGTCTTGTGCTTCAGTCACAGCAGTGCAATGGGGCAGGCACCTGCTACTGTGCATCACTTGACACCACGGCTGTGTCAGGGCAGCAAATTGCTAGTGGCAAAACCCTTTGACAAGGCAGGTGCTCTTAGTACTGAGTATTCTGTCCTGACCACTGCTGACAGATTTTGCTGAGGGCTGTGGCAAACTGCCATTGGTAGCGGGTGAAGATGGGGGGGGCGCAAAAGATGCATGCATTCAACCCTACTATGTGTGGAGTGTATTATCTTTTGACCACTGGTGGGATCTTGGCTCCGTCCTGTTTCCTACCCTGCATCTGGCCAGCACCAAGCCCTGGTTTGTTCAATCTCAGATGTCTTTGAACAAATGTAACCCATATGTGTTGTGTGCCTGAGTAAAGGGCTAGCTGCCATGGCATAGCAGTTACTCTACACCATTACCTCATGCAGTGTGGTCCATGGTCCCAACCAGCTCCTAAGCAGATACAGCTAAGTTGGCTGTGTTGGGTTTTCTGATGAGAAAGTGTGCTCTCCTGGAACTAAATTTGTGCCTTGAGGTCTGAATGAGCAGGGGGTCTCCAGACAGGAGAGGATGGGAACACCATTCAGCTCTACCTAGGCATATAGGGTCTTGTCATTGCCATTATAGGGCTCCTCATACCCCTCTCCATCCCACTCATCTCTGACTTATTTTTCTTATTAGGCTCTCACTGCAGCTGATCTGAATCTGGTCCTGTATGTTTGTGAGACTGTGGATCCACAGCAAGTTTTTGGGCAGCATCCATGTCCACTGTCCCAACCTGTCCTCCTCTCTCTCATTCAGCAGCTCTCTTCAGATTTGGGTACCCGGACTGAACTGAAACTGAGGTGGGTGTGATCCTAGACCTCCTTTCCAGCTCTGAGCATGTTCTCTAAAAACATCCACTCAATATGCAGTGGCAAGTACAAAGCTAGTAAAATGTTGAGCATCGTTAAGAAGAGAATTGAAAGCAAAATGAGGAACATCATGCCATTATATAAATCCATGGTGCAGCCACATGGTGAAATGTATGTGCGGTTCTGGTCTCTGCATCTCAAAAAGGATGTAGTAGAACTAGAAAGATCCAGAGAGAGGCAACTAAAATGATCAGTAATATGAAGCAGTAGCTGGACTAGGAGAGACTAAAAAAGGCTAGGACTCTTCAGCTTAGAAAGAAGGCTGAGGGAGCGGTATGATTAGAAGTCTAGAAAATCATGAAGGGTGTGGACCAAGTGAACAGGGAACTGTTGTTCATGAAATCCCAGAATGCTAGAACTAAGGGGACCCACTGAAATTAGTAGGAGATGGATTTAAAACTAAAAAGAGAGAATACTTTTTTTATGCAACACATAGTTAACTTGTGGAAGTCATTGCCACAGGAGGTGGTGGAGGCAGATAGCATAGCCAGGTTCAAAAACATACAGACAGAGTCATGGATGATAGTTCTATTAATAGCGGTTGAACAGAACACTTGAAGATGTTTCCTCTGGCATCTCTAAACCAATAATGGTGGATGTTAGGGAAGGTAGGGATAGATCACGCTAAATCTGTTTGGTTTGACTCTTCCTCTAGCATCCATGTTGGCCACTATTGACAGGCTACTGAACTAGATGGGCCATTGGTCTGACGCAGTATGGCACTTCTTGTGTTCTTATGACTTCAGGCATGTTCCTAGATGCTAAACACATTGACCTCAGGGAATGTCCTAAGTAGCGTTGAGCTGAAGCTTTCACTGAGCTGTCCAGTGTGGCCATTAACTGTAGGATTTGTGTTAGCTACCATCACCGTTGAAGCAAGATGCTGAGTTGGTTGTTTATGTGGCATATACCACATACAAAGAGAAGATATTCTGAGCACCAGTGGTGCAAGTCCTGATCACCCTTGTTCAGGTGGACTTAGCCAGGGGGCTGCAACTTCTGTGATAAGGCATCTGGTTTGTGTGGTAATTCAGAGAGGTTTAAAATGTGAAGTCTGATTCTGGCTTAATCCAGATAGTGTAGTGCTACTTGGTGTGATACTGAATGCAACTTTATCCCATCCCATCTTCAGCACACTGCCAGCACAATATTCAGCAACAAAGGGAAATGAAGTTGGGCAAGCAGGAGTGCTGGTAGGTGATGGCTGGAATTGTGGAATAAGCACAGTAGCTGGTGACTTTCTATTAAATCAGTAGGCAGTGATATAGGTATCAGTACTGGCACTTAAAGGTGACATCTTTCAGTTTCAGGGTCTATACCCCACTTGGCTGAAATGGTAGGTCTGAGATGTGATCTGCTGCAGGCTGTCAGGGTATTGCAAGTGCACAAAGTATGAGCTCAGGTTGGCTAACACAAGTTATGATAGCAGAGATGAAAAGGCAGCTTGAGTTCAAGCCCATCGAAGAGCTTGGAGATGAACTTTGGCTGCTAACCTGTTGAAACCCAAGTTGTATTGGCCTCACTCCTGTTTTTTGATGAGTTAGCCAATCCAAGAACACAATTCTGTGTGAAGTGAAGATACAACATTCCTATTACAGAGTAAGTGTAGGGGTTCCTTGCAGCCATAGTTGGAAACTTGGGTCTTTTTTGGATATTAAAGGGTTTGCTGAAAGAGCTAGACCAGGAAACCTCTTCTTGTGGATGCTGTTACACTAACAAGTCCTTTTGTCAGTATAGCTAAAACCAGTTACCCCAGCAGAATGAGCTGTATTGGCCATAGGACTTTTCCCCTCAGCTTATCTGCATTTAGGTTAGGGTTCTGCTAACAACCTGTGTGCTTCAGTGGTGCAGTTCCTTTTGCCGCCATCCCCAGTGCTCCTAAACCAACAGTAGAACTGTCATGTCAGCCAAGCCGTAGCTTTTTAAAATGAAAGCAGAGAGAGATTCTGGAGCAGAAAGGGGCTGACTGCATGATTGTAAAATGTGAAA